AAGCTCCATTTACCCGTCGCGGCCAGGGCAGCATCACTGTAGGTGTTTGGGCACATGTACCTAAAAGTAGCGTTGCTGAAGTAAGTCTTGAAGAGGACGCTGTCTGGCAGTGCAAGTTTTGGCTCTTGGTCATTTTCTCACGGACGACTCAGAGACCCCTTGTCTCCCACCTTCCTTTCCCCATTTTCTTCTCGCCAACTATACCTAAGAATACTTCGACACTATCCTGGCGATAACATGTCAATTCATTTCTGCCTAGACTCGGGCAGGCAGTTCGTAGGTTTCACGAATGTTTGTCCATGGCTGCCTACCATCGTCCCATGGAAGGAATGCGCATCGCAACTGCAGACACAGGACACTACGACAAGGTGTATTGCTTGTCCTACTGTTGAGAAGAAAGACATACGTCAGTTGAGTGCTCTTATCGGAGCGCGTTCCACTTTTGCCTGCGTGGCGCAACGGTCTTCGCGACACCTACTGCTTTTTCGAGCAGCATTCGAAGCACCCTAAAGCAAAGGCACGAAGAGGCGCTACCTAAGTAAATAGCGTATTGCTCGCCCCTGCGGCGTTTCGCGTGACCGTTGTTTTGTCTGCTTCGAACTTAGCGCCGCTCCGCCGCTCCCCCTCGACCGCGTCGTCGATGATCGCTCGGGGCCCTCGTGGTAGGACGTGCGCAAGAACGTTAAAGACTCGGATGACAGGGTGCGGACACCGACCTAGTCATCGGCGATGACCCCTCGACGGCGTCGTGCCCAGCGGCTCCGTCGATGAAGCCGCCAGGAACTACAAGAAGGCCAAGGTTAACCTCCTCGGGGCGGCATCCACTACTCGGTCGAGGTCCCCAGCGCGACGACAGGACGAGGAAGAAGGGACGAGATGAACTACATGACCCTCCAGCGCCCCGCGTCGACGAGCGCACAAAGGTGATGACGTGCGAGGAATACGTCATCTATTCCGGGTACCGCCAGACCTCCTTCACCTGGCACAATGGCAAGCGCTTCCGCGAGTGGGCCTCCTCCGGCGAGGCAAGACCCCGATCGAGCCTTCCCACATCCAGGAGGCCTTTCGTAGGTTTCAACACAGGCTCAAGAAGATGCGGCACACGCCTCCCAACATCATCTGAGTCGCTCGCCGGCTGGTTCCGCATATGCCCTCTCGTTGGGCATCGTGGGATCCCCTTTTCTTTCTTTGTACCTGCGCTACAGTTCTTCTACTTGGATAGGGTTGCGAGGGCAAACAGCGGGAGAAGGGTGGAGAGAATACTGGCAGTTTGAGGTGCTTTTCTGGGGGAGCATTTTGAAGTACTTTGGCCTTCATGCTTGGTTCAGTTTGGAGGCATTCACGCTGGCTGGATTGAGCTGACGTGGGTGCCAATGATACCGGCCGAAGGGTGAGCGTCGGCAGTGCCGATGGCCCAGATACCCATGCCCTTGCCCACGTTAGAACCTTTGAGCATGATCAAGAAGTGGTGCACTATGTCCAGACCAGAGAAAGCTAGCTCTAAATAAAGACAGCATTTTGAAAAGTAGTTGTGCATCTTGTCTCCTTGGATCAGCACCTGCGCCGGTTTGCAATAACATCAAACGCTGGACAAGACTCCCCAAGCCTGCGAAGGGCAACAACACTCCAGAGTCCAAGAACCCGCCGTCTGATCGAAGAACTGTCTGCCGTTGGGAAGACGACATTCGTCATATTTCGCCGGGTTCCAAATCGGAACCATATCTTCTGACCAAACGTTGCAACACCTCTGTCCGCACTTGCTTGTGCGACAATCCTGCAAATAACGGGCGGTATGCAATTTTGTCATGGGCAATGGGCACAGATGAAGGCAAGTCCATTAGAGAGTCAGGTACTCCGCGGCCCAGCCGGCGACAGAACCGGCCTGCTCCATCAAAGAACCCGAAAACTGCGGGCCGCCGCCTTTTTTCCTCCGAGGTCTTTGCCCTGCCCAATTCGACATATTTATTTCGAAGCTCGTAAGGAATCATCAAGCTGCGGGGTGATTTCGGTTTCGGTTTCGGTCGTCGACGGCAGCGGGACAAGCCTGCGTCACCTAGGGTTCCTGAAGCCGTGTTTGCTCGGTGGAGAGAATCATTGGTTCGGCGAGGAAGCGAATCGTGGCTACCTTTTGAGCCAATGTTTTTGCCTGTGGTCGCAGCGGTGACAGATACAGGCGCCACAAACCCATGCAGGCAGCTTCGTGTACCCAGGTAAATTGGCTCATCGTCCGTTTCTAGCATGTTCAGATGTAGGGCCGTTTTGTCTTGCTTGGCTACGCAGACAAAATGTGAAGGTTGCCATGGCGAACAGGGCATCTTGAGGCAGCAGCTCGATTGTGGCGCTGTGGCCGAGATAGCGTCAAAGTATTCCAAAGTATAGTTAGAGAAGAAGAGGGGACGGAAAGGTGGGAGCCGCGGGGTCTCAGGTGGCCTGCGAGAGAATGGCCAAGGACCAAAACTTGCGTCACCAAAGAGCGTCCCTTGTTTTGGCGCACTTCAGCGACATTACTTCCAGGTACATGTGCACCAACTGCGGCGAAGACGTTGAGCTGCGGCAAGGGTTGTCGCCCGTGCCAGCCCCCAGAAATAATGCTTTTCGGCGGCGCTGACACCGTCCGACCTGCAACGGTGCTCTTGAGGTACACATAAGTCATGGAAAAAAAATGACGCTTTTGCGATACGGGCTTTTCCGGCTCCCTGCCCGCCAAGCCATGTCCAAGATTATGGCATCCAAATCATCAAAAGCAAAAGCTCTGCAGCTCGACAAACAACAGCAGGTACGGCACAGTAAGCTGGTGTGTTGAGGTCGTTGACATGCGACTCTACTCCGGACTCCGAGGGGGGGCTAATGGTCGCCAACGTGCCCCCTTTGTTGTCCCAACTGGCTTATTATGTTGAAGCACATATTCCCGTTTGAGTTGGTGTGCTGCCGTAAGGCGGAGGGATTCGGCTCCTAAAGAAATGAGTACTCCGTTTGGGAGAATTTTGATACCGGGCAGAGCCTTTGTATGACGAGTTTACGCACGCCTTGTGATATTATCGATCACAGAGCTTGTCCAGCGTCCACTTCGCGATTTAGAGCTTGTGAACAGGCTCTTCCCATTATGAACGATTCTGACCAATGAGAACTGAAGCTTAGAACATTATTGACTCTGAATTGAGGGTATGATTGGTTCAGTGTCACTAAGACCCATCGGACGCTGTGCAAGAGACAAGCCAACAGAAGCCTTTGCATTAGCCGGCGGTGATGAGTCCATGTAATTTCAGGCAGCCTTCAAGACATTGCCGAGTCAAGTGGTGCACCCAATTTTCCGATGGACTGATATGCTACTGCAGGGGGTCGGGTGGTCTAGTGGTAAGACGACCACTTGGTGCTAGGCTATCCCAAGTAGGCCTTACTGTGCTGGCCACCCAGCGGGGAAATCCCGGGTTCGATACCTATAACCCTCACTATCGCCTGGCGGCGGTGACTACCACACTTCGCACACAGAGTTATGGCTATATGCAGAATGGCTCAAGAGGTTTTTGGGTTGCGTTTTTTTCTGCGTGCATTTTTACCAAGAGAGGGACGAGGCTTACGGGGGTGGCTCATATTATGTATCAGCAATTCAGTGCACAGGTTAAGTTGATGTATATAGGATAGGCTCCGGTCTTTCGTAGCCGGAAAGGCTGCATATTACAGGACGAGCAAATGAGCAGTTGGCATTGAATCAATGGACTGAAAGCTCTTAATCCTTCTAAGGAGGGAATCTAGTTGGTCTTTTATTGATAGAAGAAGTACATAAATGGGTGAAGAATTCGGTGGTTGGGCGGGCACCTTATGCATTGGGGAAGCTTATTCCAAGGAGGCTGGAAAAGAGGCTGGCGGTGGGGCGAGGAAACTTTGGGTGTAGTTGATGCATGCCAATCCTTGTGATCAGACGGTTAACAGGAGACCGGCCCCTTGCAGGGTCCGCCAATGCCTTGAGGAACGGGACTGAATTTGGTTCCACACTGGCAGGTCTGCTGAGACGATGAGGCTTGCTCCCGGTAGTGTGGCTGCTTGGACGCCATTTTACCCCGCCACAACAAGGTGGGTTGAGGGCGGGCGGGGTAAGAACGCGGAGGTAACTTGTTCAGCCGAAGGCTGACTCTACATCAATCCATAAGTTTCCCGAATAATGAGGGTTTGGTGCAGACAGGGGTCAATAAGTTTCCCGAGTTCTGATTGGCCCGAATTTTGTATGGACGGCCGCAAAACGTGCAACAATTGGATAACGGCTGCAAAAATGTGGGACTAGGTGTCTGTGGCCCGTAGCAACCCTGGTTTGTTTACTTGCGCGTCGCCTTGACGTGGAAACTTCGTTGAAGCAACGCGTCTTGATGCGTGGTTCGCGAAGTACTGAGTCCTAAGTCTACTCCTCAAGGGCTTCAAGATGGACTTGATTTCCATCGTCTGTGCCCGCTGTGGCGGAGAAACCGGCGGGTGACTTCGTCAGCAAACGGAAGTCTGTTTGGAAGACCAAGAACTGCCTCGCCTGTCGTAGTCAGTGCAATTCTCATGTCAGCTCCGTCTTCCTCACTCCGTAAGGCCATTCAACGCTAACTAAATGAAGAACTCCAGATCCAGAGGCGCGACCCTGACGTTGAGGAATCTCGCCGCCCGTCCTTCCTTAGCGAGAGACCTGCTCCGAAGAGAACTGAAGGGAATGCTGGTCTATCGCCTTGCAACAGAGATCCGGAACCCGCCCACATCGCCAGAGAAGCTACGGCAACTTCATACAACTAGGAGGTTATTCGAGAGCCAAAGAGCCAGCCCCAGGTAGTGCTTGGGACGCCAATTCCACCAACCCAACAGAGCTCGCGGCTCTTCCGGACTCTTGCTCCTCCCCACCGTACAGCCAACGACCCATCCGATCGCCTCAGATTCTAGTCCGTTTACTGTACGAAGCATCAGCATAGCCGACAAAGATTACTCTTACCTAGCGTCTAGGTTCCACAAAGGTGGGAAGCACTCACAAGATGATGCCTCCAAGACTGGGGCGAGGGCCAAGCAGGCCGCTATCCAGCGCGGCCACCGTTCACGGCGTCGTGCAGGGAGATTGTGTCACCGACTCCACAATATCCCAACTCGGCGTCTTTAAAGGTTCGGAGGTTCCTGGAGAAGATATCCTTGCGCTGTGCTCGCAGTGGTTTGTTTGCGCTAACCACGGAACGTAGGTGCGAGTCAAGATCGACCGCAGCTGATTGGGCTTCCAGATGGGGATGAGGTAAGGAGGGAAGGACATGACAGCGGCCAGTTCTCTGAGTCCGATATTGACGCTGAGGACTACTTCAACTTGCTGCTTTCACCCGCTCGACCTCGCCGGTACCTCAAACAATTGGGGTGGAGCCCGATTCCGATCTAGGGACGAAGACGAGGACAGCGATGATGATTACGTGGATGGAAGCCCTCTTCGCCATCGCATGCGGCAGCCTTCGGCACAGCCAAGGCGTGGCGGCCGTGGTCCTGCCCCAGGTACAGGAGGGCGGCCGAGACAATCTCGAAGGCAAACTCGACCGTTGAGGCCGCCACGACGTGTTCGGAGCCCGGTAATGATTCCACCTGAACAGTCGGCGGTATTTCACGCACAAGATCCGGCGTGGAATGGCGACCTCGACGCTTGCGCCTTGACTGACCGTGACAAGACCACCCTCCGCGAGTTCTGGACAAAGCTGGACAATGACCAAATGCAGTTTTGCAGTCGATGCCAAGAGAGTTGGTTTCAGATGAATATCGATACCGACGGCATTTGTGCGCGTTGCTATCGAAAGGATGCGAAACGCGGCCCCCGCGAGCCGTATTTCTTCTCTGCGGATAATCAGCTCGACTTTGGCCCTGTGTCGGCCCGGTTGCCCGAGCTTACGCCTACCGAAGAGTCGTTGATTGCTCGCGTTCACGCCCACGTCAACATTATGCTTGTGCGAGGGCAGCAGTACAAATATCGGGGGCACGTCGTTCACTTCCTCCGCGAGGTTGGCTTAGTGTACAACCAGCTCCCGCTGTTGCCGCAGGAGTTGAACACTGTATTATTACGGCCTGCCAATACGTCGTCCCACGCCAATCTTAGCCGGCAATTCACCCGCCAGTTCCGTGTGCGCCGCCAGGCGGTTGTGATATGGCTCAACTACCTGCGGCGCCATCATCCTGGCTATCGATGCATCGTTATCGACGAAGAGCGGCTGAGCCAACTGCCTGAGAATGGCAATATCCTGGATGCAATACCCCAAAGTCAGGTGGAGGCTGCCGATGTTGGACCCGAGGAAGATCACGAGGCAGAGCCTGACCTAGAGGACGAAGCTGCGGTGCCGGACCTTTTGGCCAAGGACACGGAGCTCGATGCTCTGCGGGCTATTCTCACTAGAGAATCAGAAGCTGATGCAGAGCTTCCCACGAACGTCCAGGCTCGGCCGCAACACGAGTTGCAGCTCCCGAATATACGGCACACGCCAATAAACGAGTTCAATCGCTCTCATGCCCTTCTCTCCTTGGCCTTTCCTGCCTCTTTCCTGACGGTAGAGCTGACTTTGTTGAGCCTCGATTACGCTCCATTGATTACAAGGATTACATTGAGCACGCGATGCGTTGGCATGACGGGCGTTTTGCCCGCCACCCGACCTTCCGCTTCGTCGCATTCAACACTCTAATGCGGTCACAGGCACGTACACGGTCCAAGTTCTTTGTGAAGCAGCACGATGGCACTCATGAAGCGCTCACAAGAGAGCGGCTTGTTCAGGCGCTCCAGCACAGCGAGGACCCCGAGGCGCAGGCGCTGATCAACTCGATCACAAGACACGCAGTGTCTATTCGCGGTACACGCCCCTTCTGGAACAAAAAGAGGCAGGACCTGGAGGCTTATGCCTATAACCTTGGCTGTCCTGCTGCATTCATCACATTTAGCCCGGCAGATCTGCACTGGCGGAGTCTCTACCAACACATGCCCCGATATGAAGAATGGCTGGCCGCATCCGAGTCGGAGAGGATGGCTCTATCCCGCCAGTTATTGCGGCAGAACCCTCACATTGCAGCTTTCCACTTCTACCGCCGATACTGCTTCTTTCGGGATATCGTGTTAAGGAAGAAGTTCAACGTCACGGATTACTGGGATCGGTATGAATGGCAGGGCCGTGGTAGCCCGCACAACCATGGCCTGTACTGGATGGAGGATTGCCCGGGACCGACATGGAGGACGAAGCCGCTCGTGAGGTATTCGCACGCACGTGGGGATTTCACATCACCGCTATCAACCCCGAGCCGAGTAGGACTGTGCCTCAAGGTGAGGTAATCCCTGAGCGCGGATCCGCTGGGCACGGAGATGACGTTCTTGCGGCTCTCGCAAATTGTCAACCGCTGCCAGCGTCACAAATGCAATACCACGTACTGCTTGCGCGTCAGAAAGCGAACGGGCGATCTAGCGAGGACATGGAGGCGGCTGCTGCAGATATCGAGGCTGCAAATGCGGCCAATCCAGAGGAGTGCCGCTTTGACTTCCTCGCGCCTTGCGGGAGCTGGCCGCAGTTATGAGGAAGGAAGGAAGGTCGTACTTCGTCTTCGAGGCGGCCCGGAACGACAGCCTCATGAACCATTTCAATCCTGCTATTGTCCTAGGCTGGCTGGCCAATATCGACATATCTCCTTGCACCAGCTTACAGGCGGTTATTACGTACGCTGCGAAGTACTGCAGCAAATCTGAGAAGAAGACCGAGCCATACTGCAAGCTGGCCGACCAGGTGTTGCCACACACAGCGCACCTTCAGCCCCTGCTCTCCTTCTCCTCTCGCCTTATGAATAAGCTGATTGCCGAGAGGGATTACTCGGCGCAAGAGATTTCCCACCTGCTGCTCAACATCCCTCTGCAGGAAGGTACGCGGATGGTGGTGTACGTCGACTGCCGCCCGTTGGAGCATCATGCGCGGTCGTACCGCGTCGACGATGATGTCAATGAGACTGTCGGCAGCTACCAGAAATATCTGGAGAGAAATGGTCAGCATGAACGAGTAACCTACCTTGAGTACCTTCAGTCGTACAATCTCAAGACGTGGAGGATACTCTGTGCGAACGCGAAGAAGAGGGTCCTGTCTTACTTCCCTCGGTACCGGCCGGAGGCTTCTCCCCAGTTTAATGACTTCTGCCGTGTCAAGTTGATGATGGTCCATCCGCATCGCTACCCAGAGGAGTTGCTCACTGTGGGCGGGCAGCGGTTCGAATCTTTCGCGGCCGCGTACCAATACTGCCGACAGCAGCACCATTCCCATGAGGACGACCATTACGGAGAGCCAGGAGCAAAGGAACTGAGGGCAGAGGACGATCAGTTTGAGCTGGAGGAGCATGTGGATCCCGTTGTGGAAGAAGATTGGCATGAACTCGCCCGCATGCTGCCGGATCATCCGCTGGGGGAAGAGGACATCGACATACTCGGCCGCCGAGACCTCGATGTGAATTATGATTGGACTCCCACGTTGGACGGTATACCGACAGTGGCATTCTGACCGGCGACTACTGGAAGCAGCGCAAAGCGGAGAACCCCATGTCCCTTGAGGTGGATGATCAACCCTTGGATGCTCGCGATTCCTAAATCCGGAGCAGCGTCTAGTGTACGACACGGTCATGGACCACTTTCTGACCCAGCACGCTTCCCAGCTGCTGCTCCACGTAGATGGCGGAGGCGGCACCGGCAAGTCATACCTCATTAACATACTCTCCGCCCACCTCCAAGCCGCCGCAGGCGGGAGGGGAACGCCTGTTTGGCGTGCCGCTCCCACAGGCGTTGCGGGAAATCAGATTTCGGGCACTACCTTGCACTCCCTGTTGCATCTCCCAATCAACAAAGACTTCAAGCCCCTGTTAGCGATTGACAAGGCTCAGCTCCAGAAGAAGCTTAAGGATGTCAAGTACCTGATCATTGATGAGAAGAGCATGCTAGGACTGCGTCAACTATCATGGATCGATGACCGTCTCCGCGAGGCGTTCCCGAATCGGAATGAGGAATTCTTTGGCGGCCTGAATATCCTGTTGGTTGGCGACTTCTTTCAACTTCCCCCAGTGCTGCAGAAGCCGCTTTATTACGACAAGGAAGTGCAGGAGTAGAGATCAAGGGCCGGAACGCATATCGGCGCTTCGACAAGACGGTCTTCTTAAATGTTGTCCAGCGTCAGCGTGGTGACGACCAGGAGGCATTTCGCACGGCCCTCGGGGTGCGACTGCACCAACTATCCAGGAGTCCTGGAAGCTCCTCTCCAGTCGTGTACAGGCGAAGCTAGACGATCGGGAGGTTGCCAAGTTCGACAACGCCTTACGGGTGTACGCCACGAAAGACAGGGTCAACGAGTTCAACCACTACCACCTCGACCGCCTCGGCCGGCCTGTCATCCAGGTAATGGCCAAAAACGTAGGCCCTGGCGCCGCGGCAGCGCCTGATGACAAGGCGGGCAACCTTGCGAAGCAGATCCCCATATGCATTGGCTCCCGTCTGATGCTGACGTCCAACCTTTGGCAGCCAGTTGGCCTCTGCAACGGCGCTCGTGGCACAGTTCACGATATCGGCTGGGCACCTGGGGCCGACCCCATCCAAGACCCTCCCTGCGTTATCATGATGGAGTTTGACAAATACAGCGGACCGGTATTCCTGACCACCCCTGATGGCAGGAAGATTGTGCCGATTCTCCCAGTGGAGAGGGACTTCCTCATCGGAGCCACTCTCTGCACTCGCACCCAGTTTCCTCTGATCGTATGCTATGCAATTACCGTGCACAAGTCACAAAGCATCACCGAGGACATGGTCGTTACAGATCTGTCCTGCCGAGACTTCCAGACTGGTTTAAGCTACGTGGCCGTCTCACGCGTGAAGACGCTGCAGGGTCTGATGCTGGATGCGCCGTTTGACCGCAATCACCTGACTTACGCGTCTCCACCCGAGGGCATCAAAATGAAGATGAGGGATCAGGAGATCCGCAGACGACAGGTTCTTACTCGGAACCCCTACGAGACATACCACGGGCCAGCGTAACTCCAGGTGATGCAACTCGCATTAGAGAAATACTGCCGAAAATATCCGTGGGCGTAGATAAGGTAACAATTACATGCTTGTAGATGATTTGACTGCTCGGTGATTGACCGCTTGGCCCGTTGGCCCGCGGACTCGCAGCCTTCGGCTGATTGTACGCCTTGCACAACCGCTCTAAACTGCAAGGCGTGACGTAGTATTTTAAGGGGCCATCATCTCGAAGGGCAAAGGAGTCTGAACTGTTCGCGAATCATGCAGTAAAGTGTAACAGTTTGTTAAGAATCGACTCAATGCCTCCGATTGATTACTCAAAGTGGGACAACATCGACACCGATTCGGAGCCAGAGGCATCGCCCCAGCAAGCGCCAGCAGCAAAACCCACCCGCCGCCCACGCATGCCTCCCCGCCGATGGGTACATCAGGTTTGAGGGAAACGCACAGCAAGTCGGGGCATGTCGAAGCTGTCATTGTCCGATGTGAGGCCGAGAAACGCAAGTTTCCCCTTTGGTCTGCCACTACAATCCCTGCGAATCATGTCGTGTTTTCGCAGTCGGTGCCCTCCGTCCCAGGGCTCATCGAGGTCCCGCTGGTCCTGGATCGGACGGGGACTCAGTCCGTCAATGAGGCAGACCTCGACAACCAGATTGCTACGTACCTCAATATTGATGCCAACTCCGGGTTTGCACCTCCAGACTGGCAGTCACAAGTTGGCACCGTCGTGGTCGCGCGCAAGGACAGGAAGCCATTTTATCCGCAGCATCTCGAAGGAGTGTGGATGTTCTGCGACCATATCCTGGACCTGTTCGGGAAAGAGACGGGCCGCCGAGGTGGCTTTACAGCCGCCAGGCGTTCGAGGAATGGTGGGTAAATTATTGTGAGGAGCAAAAGCGCTTACGTCCTGGGAAGGGAGGGCGAGATCCGGACGACTGGCGTGCGGTCCGGTCACCTTATGAAGTGTAGGACGTCTACGTGCCGCGTTACGACGTGCGAAAGGTCAAACTATAAGGATGGTTAGTATACTAGCACTACTTTTCGAAACCTTGGTCCTTGTATAACCGTCTTGTTTCCGCGGCCAAGTTCTTGAGTCTCTGCATTCCATCAAGAATGGCCTGATCGAGCCCATTGCCAATGAAGTCATGGTGTCTCACGGGATTAAGAAGCTTGATGCCCCGAAGCGAGGTGCACCTGGATAGTTGCACATAGAGGCTCGTAAAATCGCACTTGGAGGGTTCACCATTGGTCACACGATTTCCACGCAGCTCCAACAGTACTTCGACGAATGTTTTACCCTGGGCTTTGTAATCAGTGAGAACGAACGCTGGTACAGCGGGCAGTCCACGTCGCGTGCATCTTGCGGATAAGAACTTGAAGTGAGTTAGTCGAATCAAGTGTATGCGACATGGGCCGGATAAGTACTGTCCCCACCGGGAGGGACGGTATCGCCAAGGTCTTCGTCTCCTCGGACTGCAGAAGAATGCCGAGCGGTGGCCCGAAGTGGATGGTCACGTCATCTGCCAAGCAGTATCCCGGGTGATTGGGATCGATTATCACGTCCACGGCAGTAAAGTCAGCCCCATTCACCACCTTCAGGCCAGTGTAGATGTTCTTGTTCACAACCACGGGCATGCCCTGGGCGTAGAAGAAGACGCCGGGGACTTTGCAGGCAGAGTCGTCGCCTTGTCCGATGGTATGGTGCGCTACAGTTTGCGACGACAATCCTGGGATTTCTGCGAATGAATAAGGAGATGCTTGGTTTTGATCCCACCATTATAACATCCGGCGGCCAGCAGTATATCGAGATCGAACGAAACGACAAAACAGAGCGTCTCATCATTGATGATGTTATGAAGCGAGCGCGGTGCATTGCCGGTCGGGCGACAACCTGTTGGAAAGCACATCGCAAAGAAGACCCCCAGACGCCGCTTGTTATCAAGGACTCCTGGCAGTACACGGACCGAGACGAAGAGGGTATACTTGTCCAAGAAGCGACTGAGAAAGGTGTTATTAATGTTGCCCGATACTACCACCACGAGACTGTACGCGTCCGCAGTGCGGATGACGACATCCAAAACAATGTTCGAAAGAGACTGGACGTCACCAAAGCTACAAATTACCGATCAGGACATGCGATGTTGCCATCAGGTACGAGCGCGTCAAGTGTGTCACGCAGAGGGCAAAGCAGCGGCGCTGGTGTGAAGCGACCGTCCAGCGAAACCGATGCCGCTCTGCCGCCTAACAAAAGATCCGGTTCAATATCTCCAGTCAAGGCAAGCACCGGAGCCCTGCCAAACCGTGTACATCGGCGAGTCATTCTTCGTGACTTTGGAAAGCCAATCTACAAGGCAAAATCTCGCACGGCGCTGCTCGCTGCGCTGGAGAGCTGCATTGAAGGTCACCAGTCGTTGCATGAGGCGGGCCTTCTCCACAGGGACATCTCCATCAACAACCTCATGATCAATGAAGATGATGAGAACCCTTCGTGGCAAGCTTTCTTGATTGATCTAGACCTTGCTATACGAGAACAACGACAAGGTGCCTCAGGAGCAAAAGGAATGACTGGTACGAGAGCATTTATGGCTATAGGAGCTTTATTGGGCGACCAGCACTCCTTCATGCATGACCTGGAGTCGTTTTCTGGGTGCTCTTTTGGGTATGTATTCATTACAATGGACCAGATGAACATGCTAGGGTGATTGGTCGGTTTGACAAGTGGAACTACGTTGATGTGGAAGAGTTAGCAGAACTCAAGTCGGGCTTGGTGGGCAATGAACGGCATTTTCTCAACCGTGTCGGCCAGTCATTTACCCCTTATTTCGAGCCTCTGGCTCAATGGGTAAACCGGCTGCGACGGGAACTCTTTCCAGGGGATAAGCCGTGGCAGGGTCGAGAGGATCCTGGGCTATATGTTCGCATGCGGCGAATCTTGCAAGGTGCCCAACAGGACCCGGCGATCCTTGCAAGACGGGATTGATACTGTCCTCGAGTTACAGCTTGTCTGGGTCGGGCACGGCTTGGAAGTCGCGGTAGTGACAAACATTGGTCCCTTCACATAATTGCAAATGAAGGGCAAATATTGGGCTTCAGCTGGAGAGCACGGAGCGGGATGTGGTTACTAGGGGGGCCTCAAAGTCGGCCAATCCCCGTGACAGCTCCACAGTCACGGGGGGGCGGTTGATCTAGAAAAAGCTCGTTGACCTGGAAAAAAACAGGGTACTTCAATTAGTGTGCACGCATCATACAATAAAAAGTAGACATGTTTAAGATCATATCTACCATAGTTACAATTCGACCCCGCATATACCCCCCTATGGCAATAATTCAGAACCCATTTCACGATGGCGTCATAACACTACATTTTTATCGCCACGTCACTATCTCAATAGTCATCGAGGGAAGGCCAATTCTTTGACTATGGCTTCTTCAAAAGCTAAAGAGTCAGCTGTCCAAAAATGGATCGATTCTGCCACCGGCTTACCCAACTTTTCGCGCCATACAACCGCAAACCTCGAGACGCGAACTTATTGCAGGAGCAGAGCTCTACTACGAGGGCTTCTACGGCTCAATTGTGGCCGCGGCGAAGGCGCTTGGCGTACCCTACAAGCGCCTCTATTATCGAGTCAATGGGCATCACTCAACGGCCGAGAATGGGGGCAACCGTGCCCTGCTTGATCCCTCGGATGAAGAGGAGGTATTTTGCTGGGCACATCGCCGCATCACACAGGGGCACCACATCCAGGGTCGTGCGCTCCAACAACACGCCAACGCCATTCTCAAGGCAAAGGGCGTGGGAGCTACAGCATCGCGAGCCTGGGCCAAGCGCTTTATACAGCGGCATAGAGAACTCTTCCACCGTCGAAGAGCAGCAGCGCGAGACATCAAACGGAAGGCTATGCAAGATCGCATCCACGTTGAGGCTTTTTTTCGCGGCTGGTCTCAAACGATCGAGAAAGACGATATTCTCCTAAGAACACCTGGAATTTCGACGAGACGGGCTTCATGGTGGGATATCTACATAAAGGCACATTTATTTGGACCTTCCGCGAGATTGATACCCCTATTTTATCTGACGCTCACGATACAGTGTCGGTCACAGCGATTGAGGCTATTTCTGCAGCTGGGAGTTGCATTCCTTCGTTTGTGATACTCCTGGGGTCCAAATTCCTGCCCGTTGGGTTAGCAACAGCCTTGACGACGATACCATCATTTCAACCAGCCAAAGGGGTATATTAACGATGTCATCGCGATTGAATGGATCAGACACTTCGAGAAACACACGAGACCAGTTGATCCACTTCAGAAGCGGCTTCTACTATGGATAGCTGTGATGGTCACTATACAGAAGAGATGGTTCACTTCTGCTTCGATCACAACATTAAGGTCTTCCCAATGCCTCCCCATCTTACACATCAGCTTCAACCTCTTGATGTCGGCGTTTTTAGGTCATACAAACACTGGCATCAACAAGTTCTACATCGTGAGATTGCTGACGGGGCATATGACTTTAACAAGTCCGATTTTCTATATCATCTTCAAGAGGTCCGCACTCGCACCTTCAAAAAGCACACAATTCTCTCATCTTGGCAGAAATGTGGCCTCTTCCCATTCAGTCCCGAGATCGTGCTCTCTCAGCTTCAAGACACGCTCTCGTCGCTCACAGAAGAAGTGGCTATTAAGGACCTGCCGGGCTCGATCGAAAGCGAGCCTCAGGGCGGGCCTCAGGCAGCAAGACCATCAACACCATCGCCACACACGCCGCCCTCGATTCAACGATTCAACTGGAACAATGTTTCAACGCCGAGACTCAACCTCTCTACGATTCAGAGGTATCACGCCTACGTACAGCTTCGTCTAGCCACATCAGTTGACTCCCACATGCCGTTGACTCCCTCCGTCACATATGTCTATGAGAAGGCGCGGAAAGCCGACAAAACCCTCGCTCTCAACGGCATCACCGCAACGGCCGAGATGACGAAGATAAAAGAGAAACAAGCCAAGCGCTCCAGTCTCCAGCAACAGACAACTATTGTAGCGAGATACGGCCCATTAAGCGTCGGTGACGCTAAATTCGAGTCGCCCGAGACGAATACAATAGACAAGCGGCACAAGAAGAGGCACAGAGAGTCAGGAATAAGGAGGTTCGCGACGAAGCTGGCTATATACGCCGCTGGCTTCGCAAGGTACGCTTCAACGTCAGGATTAGCATCACAGAGGCGAGGATTCGAGACATCAGAGGTCTCTGGGCCAAGGGCGACAAGCGCGCACACCTCAATTGCAATGAGTGGATGTGCGCAAGCTACAGGATTCTCCGCGAGCTACACAACCGCGGCGTAGGGCAAAGCAAGGCGATCATGTGGCCGGAGTACTATGATCGCGAGATTGTAAAGGAAGCAGCCGAATTAGTGGTGATGGAGGCAAATAAGCGTGCTATTTGCCGTCAGACGCTTTCCTTGGAAGCTGACGGCATCGAGATGCGATGAAGAGGAATCATAAGACGCGCTCGAGGCTGGGAAGGAAGAAGAAATCGAATAGAGCTCAATTCGATGCCAAAACACCAAAAACACCTCAAAGGCAGTATGGTGATGCATTTGCATTGCTATGACTAGCTTGCAATAAAGCGAACATGTGTTGCACTTATCGCGGGAAGAGAGGTACTTTTAAGTTCTAGCAAAATGGCGGGGCTCTTATGTACTTCTTTTTTTCCAGGTCAACGAGCTTTTTCTAGGTCAACCGCCCCCCCGTGACTGTGGAGCTGTCACGGGGATTGGCCGACTTTGAGGCCCCCCTAGTAGGCACGGGGACTTCGCCAACTGTCATGACCACGAAGTGGCCCGGATCGAATACTCCTGCGGGAGAAGACAATCGCCCTCCAGGGCAAACCCCCGACTAACATACCTACACTCTCTACTTCCTTTCTTTTTCTACCCGTAGGCCTTCAGGGGCTTGCGGCCGGCCCATGACTTCGTGGTCTCTCTCAGTCACCTGGCCTCGGCCAAAACTGACTACTATTACTCTTTCACTGCCGTGCCTGGAACCGCTGACGAGGAAGGGCCCGAATTTCCGACCGGCCTTCGAGCCTCAGAATTGCTAGATGGAGTGGTTAGGTGCTACACCCGGCCCTTAGTCCAGGTACTCGGGATATTCTATGTATCTAGTCTTCTCTAGCCTAGCACGTCTTTTGCCCTTATATGGCTGCCCCAGACGGTAATCAATACTACTATTACTACCACTAAAGGGCGGGCAGTAGTCAAGGTAAAAGATGGTGAGGCTTCTTGGTAACCGTGTAATGGTACATGAGAAAATAGTGCCATCTAGTCCGACTTGGCTCATATCCCTAGCCCCGCATTCATGTCTCGCTGTATAAGCGCCAAGAAAACGATCGTCACCGGTGAATGCTGGAACAGGCAAGTACTTTCGGGTCGTCGGGGACCAGAGGCTGGTGCGCTAAGGGATTTCCCGGTGATCTGCCGGATCTGGCGACTTGCCGGATTGTGGCGACTTCGCACGCTCAACATCAATCGACGATAGCTCAACAACCACGGTGCCAATTGACGTATCACTTGAGTTCCTGAATTATCAGAAGCAGTGAAAGTCTAGGATATATTTAGAACTTTTATCTAGTGGGCAGTGCGCTGCGGTGCTGACATCAAACCAAGCAACGGCCAAAATAGGATGCCGACAGATTGTGTAAGTCATTTCGGCCAACACAGCAAAAACAGAACATTATTGACTTTCATCTTAGGCTTTAATCATGTGGGATTCTCCCTATTATATCCATAGTGCGGAACTTGGCTCAGGATACTGCCAAAAATGGGGGTTGGAAGGGCGACCTGGATAACCTCATTCTACGCACCCGTAATGAGCCAGATTGAACGTGATTCGACGGTACGAGCATCTTCTGAAAAGAACCTACCCATGCGTCTGAATGTAAGGTTTATTTTTAGCTTGAACTTCAGTGCGCGAGGCTCCCCTTTCACACCTGACAAGGAAAGACGCGCACGAAAATTGAGAAACTCGACACCCTGCCCTAAAACATGTATAACATGGATGAAAAGAGCTTTCTATTCCTTGCGAGCATTTGAACGAACATTTTATTCCTCTTAATATAAGAAAACAAGGCAAAATTGCTCGGCGTATCAAAAAATGGCAACCCATCCTCCACTACGTTCAAGATGTGCGTCAGTCAAGAGATGGCATCGCTGCCCCCATTTCTCATCCACCAAGACAAGCCAGCACAAACCCTGGACTTTTGGTTGGTGAAACGTGAATCAAGTCGTCAATAAATATTTTTAACACGTCAAAAACGAGGTGGATGAATCACAATATTGGAAAGGAGCAGCTCGTCAGTACGTTGGACCGGTTTACTAAGGCGAAGCTCGAAACGGTCGTTCTTTTCGCCTTTCGTTACCTGTGGCCACTTAAACATTTTATTATGGATTTTATGGAGTGGTGTGACGGGCACCGGATGATCGCTGCGGTGTTTCCTCCTCATTCCACTCATCGGCTGCAACCCTTGATGCATCGTTATTCAGCCTCTCTCAGCAGCGTATATGTATAATCTTGTTCATTTTACAGACAAATAAAAAAGGTTAATTAAATCGTTGAAAATGAAGCTCTAGACTGTGTTTTGGAACGCATTTCAGGAAGTAGTCGAGAAGACCTCTGTTGATGCTGGCCGCAACAGTCGAAGGCTGAGCAGCACCCTCGAAAGCCCTCAATGTGAGTTTTAAGTGATTTATATGAGAGCTTAAGTTAGAAAAGAACAGGTAGTCACAAGCACCAGCGCAGGCAGGGCGGTAAGGCTCCAAAAGATGATCTCTTCTGCTGTACAGATTGTAATGCAGACGAGGTGTTTAGCTCTGCAAAAGTGGCTCAAACTCGCTAAATAAATACAGCTTAAGGACCCCAAAAAAAAGAAGAGGCTCTGAAGAAGGAGACCTGAAGGTTTCAGCAACAGAAGAAGGCGGCGGATCAAAGCTTTCGCTCTACAGAAGAGGAAGCAATGAGAGGCGGAAATTGGGAGAAAACGACGGATGACGGAGGCCTTGAAGCAAAATATGGAGATAAATTGGCACTATTAACAAGAGCTGAAGACTTTGACTATGGAAAAGCCCCAGAAAATGCAGAATGAGCGACGGGTGGCTTCTGAGGGTTGCGTGAGGAGTCAGGATGCTCACGCCGCAGAAATTGTCACTCTTCCGTTCACACCAGAGCGGACCATAGCATTGCAGGTACCAAGCCCACTATATAATAACGCAAATAACAAGGCAATGATAACTTCGAACCACATATCCTGTCCTCAAAGGCCCTCTTTAGCTGTTGATAGTGATCGGAAGGTAGTGGGTGCATTTCGGGGACTTGCGCGATCGGAGAGTAACAGAAGACGACCTCGATGACTGGATGACTTCAAAAAATATTGAGTGGAATCTTTGAGCATTATTAATTGCTCTTATGAGATTTTAGAACAATTCAAATAGTATTCGTGGAGTTATTCTCAGTTCTTTACTGGAATGCAAGGGAGAAAAAACCCGGCGAATCACCCGATCCGGCAGATCACCGGGAAATCCCTTAGTGGTTGATCTTGTACTTTGACCGTGTAAAGCGCGTTAGAGTAACATATCATGCCCCGCGTCAGACGGGGCTGTCGTCTGCAGTTGCATGCAGCTTGCAGCATGTCACAGCTCGTATTCATTACGTACTAAGTACAGACAGGTCTTTTCTTCATTCGGTTTACCTGTGTCGACTGCAGGGTTCGCCTTCTAGGATCAGCATACTGACCCAGCAGGAAAACCTGAACTGGCCAATCAGATACCATTCCCTCTTCTCAGATGATAATTAGATACTCAGCCGGGACATCGGGCTGAAACGAATATATAAAGCCAGGTCCTCGCAGCGGAACTGGATACCAAACAGGATCGATTGCCACAACCTCTCGCCGACAATATTGCAAAGATTGAAGTATCAAGATTCAATATGAAGTTCACTATCGTATTGACCATTCTCGGGTGAGCAATCCATTCGCCTCAAACGACTTTGTCACTAAGGGATTTTCCGGTGATCTGCCGGATCTGGCGATTCGCCGGATTTTGGGCTCATTGCATTCCAGCAAAGAACTGAGAATAACTTCACGAATACTATTTGAATTGTTCTAAAATCTTATAAGAGCAGTTAATAATGCTCAAAGATGCCACTCAATCTTTTTGAAGTCATCCAGCCATCGAGGTCGTCTTCTGTTACTCTCCGATCGCGCAAGTCCCCGAAATGCACCCATTGCCTCCCGATCACTATCAACAGCTAAAGAGGGCCTTTGAGGACAGGATATGTCGTTTGAAGTTATCATTGCCTTATTATTTGCGTTATTATATAGTGTGTTTGGTACCTGCAATGCTATGGCCCGCTCTGGTGTGAACGGAAGAGTGACAATTTTTGCAGCGTGAACATCCTGACTCCTCTCGCGACCCTCAGAAGCCACCCGTCGCTCATTCTGCATTTTCTGTGGCTTTTCCACTTTCAAAATCTTCAGCTCTTGTTAATAATGCCAATTTATCTCCTTATTTTGCTTCACGGCCTCCGTCATCCGTCGTTTTCTCCCAATTTCCGCCTCTCATTGCTTCCTCTTCTCTAGAGCGAGAGCTTTTGCTCCGCTGCCTTCTGCTGTCGCTGAAGCTTTCAGGCCTCCTTCTTCAGAGCCTCCTCTTTCTTTTGAGTCCTTTCACTGTCATTTTTTGGCGAGCTTGAGCCACAATTTTAGAGCTAAACACCTCGTCTGCACTAGAATCTGTACAGCAGAAGAGATCATCTTTTGAAGCCTTACCGGTCTGCCTGCGCTGGTTCTTGTGACTACTTGTTCTCTGCATACTTTAACTCTCATATCAAGCACTTAAAACTCATATTGAGGGCTCCCGAGGGTGCTGCTCAGCCTTCGGCTGTTGCGGCCAGCATCAACAGAGGACTTCTCGACTACTTCCTGAAATGCGTTCCAAAACACAGTCTAGATCTTCGATTTCAGCAATCCAATGAACCTTTTTGATTTGTCTGTGTACTGGATAAGATCATGCGTATACGCTGTTGAGAGAGGCTGAATAACGATACATCAAGGGTTGCAGCCGATGAATGGATTGAGGGGGAAACACCACAACGATCACTCGGTGCCGGTCACACCACTCCATAAATTCGATACTAAAATGGTTAAGTGGCCATCGGGAACCAAAAGGCGATAAGCACAACCGTTTCGAGCTTTCACCCTGGTAAACCGGTCGAACGTACCGGTGAGCTGCTCATTTCAATATTGTGATTCGTCCACCTCGTTTTTGACGTGTTAAAAATATTTATTGACGACTTGATTCACGTTTCACGAACCAAAGTCAGAGTTTGTGCTGGCTTGTCTTGGTGGATGAGAAATGGGGCAGCGATGCCATCTCTTGACTGACGCACATCTTGAACGTAAGGGAGGATGGGTTGCCATTTTAATACGCCGAGC